TCGACCAACACCCCCAAGTCCTTCTCTGCAGGGCTGCTCTGAATCTCTTCTCTGTCCAACCTGTAGCTGTGCCTGGGATTGCTCCGACCCAGGTGTAGGACCTTGCACTTGGCATGGTTAAACTTCATGAGGTTGGCATCAGCCCACCTCACAAGCGTGTCGAGGTCCGTCTGGATGGCATTCCTTCCCTCCAGGGTATCAACTGAACCACACAGCTCGGTGTCATCGGCAAACTTGCTGAGGGCGCGCTCAATCCCACTGTCCATGTCAGTGACGAAGATGTTGAACAAGACCGATCCCAATACCGATCCCTGAGGGACACTGTAGGTAGTTAGGGCCTGGCGGCCGGAAGATATCGCGCTGTACGGAAAGATAGAGCCCCCAAGATAGAGCCCCCTGTTTAATAGCCAATAGTATGTAGCTTGTGATGTAAGCAGACGGATGTGACGCTGTAAACCCAGAGTATATAACGCTGTGTTGCGAAGTAATAAACGCCATTTGCCGTCCACCACACTGGTGTCTGTGAGCTGATGGCCCGAGCGGCCTGGGGTTGGTCACCGTGCCGTTCCTGAACCAGGTCGCCACGCCTTGCGAAGGCAACAAGTGGTGCCGAAACCCGGGAAACTCGCCTGGACGGGTGAACGGCGGCCGGGGCGGCAGGACCAGCCCGGCGGGGAGGACGCTCCCGGACCAACAAGGAGGATGGAAGCCCTTGTGAAGGTCGTATCACAATTACATAAACAGTGGGGTATTGATCGCAAGTCTAAAGATTTTTCTCTCGCTGTTGCAAGACTCTTGCAAATTGGGGTCATTGACCAGCCGGTGGATATACTCCACCCTGAAGTGTGGGATAAATGTACTAAAGCGCTAGCTGAGGAGACGAAGTCCTCAGGTTGTGGGAAAAACCTTAAGTCACGGGGAAAAGTCGAACGGGCCCTGCAGAAGGCAATACAAGCGCAGGAGACCTGGAAGGTGGCAAAGAACTATTTATTGGCCACCCCCAAATTGGGAGTCGGGGAGGCCACACAGACTTTGCACTTCCCAGACGTCGATGATTCTGCTGGGCCCTGAACTTTTTACAGTGCTTTTTATAAAAGCGGGGAATTGAGCCTGAGACTCTAAAGCAGCTAGCAGGTCTAGTGGCTAGGGAAGGCTAAGGGATTTTTTTTGCAGATCCTAATACAATATTTGAGGAGAGTGAGTGGCGAAAGTTTGGTGATGAACTATTTGACCCAGTGCTTAATGATTATAAAAAGGCAAAGAAACTCGGTAAACCACGGAGGGAAGTAATGAACTGTATAAAAAGATACAAGGCAGAAAAGAAAACTGCCGCCGTAGCAATGAAGAAACTAGGAACAGACGTCCCCGGTCGGCTGAAACCGGGGGAAGATTACAACTCGTTCCCCCCAACTCGCGGGAGCACAGGTTCCCCCCCCCTTTTCTCCCCCTCCATCAGAAGGTGCCGCGGAGGAAGTGTAACCCCCTGCTCCCCCACCACCCCAGTTCCGAAAGCAGGGACTTTGAAAAGGACAGAGAAAGTATATTAGAAGGTACACGCATGATAAAAGTCGAGGAATCCGAAAGAAAGAGGGCGGTGCCTCGGCGCCGGATCGATTGCGGCGCCACTGTGAAGCACGCAGTAGAAAATAGGGATCATGCGCGAGCGGGAGATTTAAAGGAACTGCGAGCCTCTCCAGCCCACTATGCCCCAGAGTGAAAAGATTTTTAACTCAGTCACGGAGGAGCCAGGTCTGCAGATGGCCACATACCGAACGAGAGACATCTGATAAGAAAGACACAGCTGCGAGCAACGGAGACCCCGAGTTCGGCGCAGGATCAGCCCCCGAATCCCCTGAATCCGAGCCAGGTTTATATCCTCTGCTTCCAGACCCTGACTCTTCATCTCCCGGGTCGGTCTGCTCAGACTTACTGGCCCTGGAGACGCTCTGTTGTAACAATGGGTAACCAAAGAGGTGAACATTACTGGGGAATTTTCTGCAATGGGCATCTTTGCATATCCTGTGTTTACTACACAGCAGGGGGCTAAAGAGTGGGAAGCTCTTGATCTCAAAATAGTTAAGGAGGCCTGACAAACAGTGACCGCGTATGCGTTAAAATCCTCTTATACTCAAGCTGTATATGTTATGATTTTTTCTTGCAATTGACAGGGGGAGCCCATACAGTCTCTCTGTGATACTCATGTACTAGAAGTTGGTAAATATAAGTATGTCCAGGTTTCTATCAACCCTTGGAGACCTCTGTAGATACTGCTGGCCACTTCTTCCAGCACAGGCTGGCCACCTGTGTGGGAATGAGTGTGCATTTTGGTCAGTATAAAAGCCCAAGCCTCATACGATGTGGGGGAGGCAGAGCCTCTGCGGGGACGCCTGCTAAGGTTGAGCCTGCCACCTCGCACTGCAATGATGCTTCTCGGAGCTGGTTTGCTGTTAGTCTCCACAGGGTCCTTGTGCTACGGTCTGTACGTGGGACTGTAGTGGGAGTAATAATTGTCTTTTTGTGTTTCAAATATTGAACTTGTGTGGAGTGTGCTTGTGGGATCCCACACACGTGTGTGTGTGTGTGTGCGTGTGTGTGTTGAGGGCAATCGGTGTTTTGTGTATTGTTGGGTTTATTGTAAAAGTTTTGAAGGGGTAGCTGTTTAACATTTCAGGCATGAAAGAGTTAATGTAAAAGTGTGGCTGCCGGCAGGTGTTTATGGTTGCTGCTGAAGCGGCCAGGTGGCTGTAGCTGCTGCCGAGCAGGCCGGCTTTTGCAGGGATAAAAAAAAAAACAAAAAAAACCCAAACAAAAACAACAACAACACAAAAAAAACAAACACAAAAGGGGGGGGAAGAGCAATGACGCAGCAAACTCCTCACCGGTTAACAATGTGCAGTTTAACCTGTCTACTTCTGAAGAACTGATAACCTGGGGGAGGGGGTATATTTGTGTCCTCCTGCCTACAGGTCCATGGCGACTGCCTGCAAAGCTTGTGAAGTCTTGCCATGAGCTGGACAGATGAATGGAAAAACCTGATGCCTCAGCTACAGGAGCTGACCGTGATTACCCCAAGCAGACTGAGATAGAGAAAGAACAAATAACTGCAAAACATCACTTGGGGGCAACTGAAAAGTAACATCCTGAATATGTGTGCTTGTAAAATAGCTATTATTAGAGGTTGTGATTTTGTGTATAAAACCACCTGTATTTACTAGCTAGTCGCAATAAGAAACTGCACATTGTATTGTATAGATTTGTCACTTGTAAAAGAGATGTTAGAGTATGGAAATTTGCAGTAGCTGCTAGAAAATGCTAACGCAAAAGCTAGAAAGATTTTAATACAATGGTAGTGTTATAAAGCAGGTGATGGAACAAATTTAAGAGGGGGGGAGAATTCCAGTGGTAAGAAATTTCTTCGGCTAGTCCTTCACTGCCATCAGCATCTTCAACATGCTGCTGCACCCTGTAATAGTTACTCTGCTAATGTAAATTCGTGTGTGCCTTGCTGTAGTAGCGACTTGTTACTGGATGAAGCAGGTGAAACTCTGCATTGACAACAAGGTGCAAGGACTGAGGCTGACCAAATGCCTGCTACCACAATCAAGGGCAAGACTGAGTTGGCTTCTGTGTTTGCCACCAAGAAGAACCTTTAGCTCCGCTGTTGGCCACAACCCAGCAGGCGTGGAGCGGTGGGGACACATGCCATGCCAGACCTTGATGTGAAGGATCAGAGAGCCATACAGCAGAAAAAAGGGGCAGGCCCAGGCAGCCTCTAGTTGGCATATGTTGGGGATATAATCTAGCCCAGATCCCCTGCTCAAGTAGGGTCACCCAAACCATATAGAAAACATAAAGGGGGAGTATGTGCAGCTCTGAAGGAAGAATGTTGTCTGTATGCCGATCACACTGGCATAGTGAGAGATACTATGGCCAAACTACGGGAGAGACTAGAAAAACGAAAAAGGGAACGGGAGGCGGAACAGAATTGGTTCACATCCTGGTTCACCTATTCACCGTGGCTTACCCCCTTAATATCTACCCTGATAGGGCCGGTTATAACAATCCTGATAGCATTGATTTTTGGACCCTGTATATTGAATAAGCTGATATCATTTGTCAAAAGCCGTTTGGGAAAGGTTAACATCATGTTAATAGAACGCCAACAGTTGCTTTAGGAATGTTCTTGTTCAGAGTTTTGGTCTATCCCCAGTTATACCCTGTCATTCTCTGCTCTCACTTGTTTCACGTGCCTTGCCCGATGTGCTCTGCATCCCTATTTCAAGCATATATTGCGTTTACAGAAACTGTTTTCAGTGTTGTGTGAAAGCATAAACCATATACTGTTGTTATACCCAGCTAGTTTTATTAAGCATAGGGAGGGGGGAAATGTAGGTAGTTAGGGCCTGGCGGCCGGAAGATATCACGCTGTACGGAAAGATAGAGCCCCCAAGATAGAGCCCCCTGTTTAATAGCCAATAGTATGTAGCTTGTGATGTAAGCAGACGGAAGTGACGCTGTAAACCCAGAGTATATAACGCTGTGTTGCGAAGTAATAAACGCCATTTGCCGTCCACCACACTGGTGTCTGTGAGCTGATGGCCCGAGCGGCCTGGGGTTGGTCGCCGTGCCGTTCCTGAACCAGGTCGCCACGCCTTGCGAAGGCAACAGGACACCGCTCGTTACTGGTCTCCAGCCGGACACTGAGCCATTCACCACAACTCTCTGTGCGGCCATCCAGCCAGTTCTTTATCCACCGGGTGGTCCATCCATCAAATTGATGTCTCTCCAATTTAGAGACAAGGATGTCGTGTGGGACAGTGTTGAACGCTTTGCACAAGTCCGGGTAGATGACATCAACTGCTCTACCCCTGTCCATCAGTTCTGTAGCCCCATCATAGAAGGCCATCAAATTGGTCAGGCAGGATTTCCCCTTAGTGAAGCCATGCTGGCTGTCACCAAGCACCTTGTTGTTTTTATTGTGCCTTAGCATGCCTTCAGGGATCTTAAAATCCAGCCACGAGCAGCTCAGTCTGATCTGGTGCCTTAAACACACTCAAGATCATCTTCTTCTGCAGCGATTCCAGCGACACAAGGGACAGTCCTCCCTCAGAGAAAGAAGAAACCGCAGCAAAGACCGAGAAGAACGATGCGAGCTTCAGCAAAGAGAGTAACAGGTTCCCTCCCTAATTTCTCCACGTCTGTTTCTGCCCATGCCAGCGAGGACAGGGGTGCTCCAACTCAGTTATTAAGCAGTTCCCACCACATTTGCCCAGACAACACCCTTAGGGTAAGGGTAAAGGTCTGCCTGACGCGTTGAGGAGCCAAGTCTGGATCTGTTGCCCTGGTTAAACTGGCCTTATCTACAGGGCTTATCAGGGGCAGCTCAGGACAAGGGGTGGGTTCATGCTTTCTCTGTCCTTGGTTCCTCATGGTCCCTCATTCCCCTTTCACTCAGTGACTGTTTCTTTGCAGCAGGATTCCCAAAAAGGGCTTTGTGGAGGTGACGGAGCTGACGGACATCAACTACAACAGTAACTTGGTTCGCCTCAGGCCGGGTCACATGAACGTGGTCTTGATCCTGTCCAACTCAACCAAAACTGCCCTCCTTCAGAAGTTTGCCCTGGAAGTCTACACGTTCACAGGGTAGGCTGGGGCCCTTGCCCACGTTTCTGCTACTGTTTTAACACCTTGCATAGGGCTGCCCTGAGGCCATGGCAGGAGTGGTGTCAGCTCACCCGTCAGGAGGGATCTTGGTGCTGGCTGTGCTCTTTAGTGGCCTCAAGCTGAGGAAAACCAAGTGGCCTTTCCGGCCTGTACTCGGCAACGGTGACAGGACAGGTCTGGCACTGCCACCACCTTGGGCATGCCCATGTTTCAGTGAATGGAGAGCATGAGAGTGCCACACACCAGGCAGTTGTCAGCTGTGCGGAGCCAGGGTGGAAAAGGAGCTGCAGCACCACAGCCCTGCGCCTGCCCTTGGTGACAAAAGCTGTCCCTGTTACCTGTCCAGCAGGAACGTGGCCTGGCTCAGGAGGTGTGCTCATCCCTCTTCTCTGAGTGACTGGGGTGGGTCAGAGCCCGGCCCTCCCTTCCCCTGCTGTGCTGCCTGTAGGTGTTGTTCATACCCCTCTGTTGTCCCCTCACCGAGCTGCCCCTGCCCAAGGGGTGACAGCGCCGTGTCCCTGCCAGGGGCTGCGGCTGCCGGGGCAGCCGTGCCCGGGGGTGCTGTCCCCACGCTGTTGTGTTGTGCATGCACCGTGCAGGACTCGGGCACTCACCCCGGGGGGGTCACAGTGACTCGGTGCCTGTTGCCATTGCTGCCGGAGGGGTCCGTGTGTGCAGTGCCGGGGGGTGGGAGCCTCCCATGGTGTGCAGCCCCCCGAGGGCTGTGTCTCTGTTCTGAAGCTGTGTGCAAAGGTGGCTGCTGGCTCTTGAGGCTGTTCTGTGTTTTCATGTTGTGTTTGGCCCAGGAGGATGAGTGTTGTAGCCACACGTGGTTGGGTGAGCTCCCATGTTGGCTGTACCGATGCGTCTGTCCCGCGGTGTCACCCTGGGTGGTTGTACGGGGGGTGTTTGTGTGTTTTGTGTGTTTTGGGTTTTTATTTTAATCCCAAATAAATATTATATTTCTTAAGCTGGGTGCCTGTGTGTGGGGCTGAGGTGCAGCCATGCTCTGGTTGTGTCCATGGTAGTGGCAGGAGCCACATGGGGAGCAGGCACCCCATCACTGCTGCGGGTGGTGGTGAAGCAGGATGACCCATGGAGGTGCTGGGACATCAGCATAGGAAGCACCGGGGGCATGATCCAGATAGGGTGTTACTGAAGGTCTTCAGCATCCCTGTGGGGTATTGGGTGGCCTTGGCCATGTGGAGCATGAGATAAGGAGACCCTTCTCCTGTGGTGCATGGGGGAGCAGGTTTGGAGGCTGCACCCTGGAAGCTGGGGGCAGTTGGGCTGCCTGCAACCACAGAGATCAGTGTGGCGGGGGGAGCTGCCTGCAGGCTGACCCCCCAGGAGGGACCTTGTGTGTCCCCAGGCATCCCTGCTGTGCCACGTTGGATGGGCAGCTGTGGCTGTTCCCAGGGGGCTGATAAGATGGAGCAATGGGGCTGAGGAGCTGCCCCCCAGCGTGGGACACTCACCAGATGTTGGCCAGGGGAGGGTCAACCCCAAGGTTCTGGGGTGCTATAAGGGGGGTGAGTGGCCCCTCCATGCACTCTGGACGGCTGCAGCCATGCTGGGTGCTCTGTGTCTCGCTGTGTTGCTGGGCTACGGTGGGTCTGGGGTGCAGGAGGGGATGGGGTGAGGGGCTTGGGACCCCGGCAGCCGCTGTGACCCTGGGCACAGGAGGCCGCTGAGGTCCCTTTGCCGGTGTCACCCAGCCTATGGATGCGGGCAGGCGGCCGTGGCATCGCTGCATGTCCCCCGTGTGGTGGGTGGTGAAGATGCTGTGCCCCACAGCTGGCCATGGCAGGTAAGGGGGGATGCAGGGATGGGGATAGGGGCAGGGATTGGAACATTCCCACAGTGAAGCTGTGCCTCTGCTGTCACAGATCTCACTGCAGTACAGCCGCAATGGGGAGTGGTACCACACATGCGGTGGGACCCTGATTGAAACCAACTGGGTGCTGACGGCTGCCCACTGCATCAGGTGGGTGCTGGGGTGTAAGAGAGGGGCCCATGCAGGGGGGGATAAGATGCCTATGGAGACTGACACCTCTGTTTATGCCCCTGGAAGCTCTACCCTGACGTACCGCGTGGTGCTGGGCAAGCAGGTCCTGTCGGATGAGGAAGAGCCGGGCTCGGTGGCTGTGGGTGTGGAGAAGATCATCGTGCATGAGAATTGGAACTCCCTCCTCATCGTGTATGGGATGGGATGGGTCAGGGATGGATGGAGGGGGTATTATGGCTGGGTTCCGCTTCCCTATGAGCCTGATCTTCCTGTCCCCATGGCTCGGCTCTCCCCGTAGCAATGACATCGCCCTGATCAAGCTGGCAGAGGAGGTGCAGGAGAGTGAGACCATCCAGGTGGCCTGCCTGCCGCCTGCCGGGCAGATACTGGAGAACAACTACCCCTGCTATGTGACCGGCTGGGGCCGGCTCTGGAGTGAGTGGGGGTCCGTGGGGAGGAGTCAGGGGGATCCAATGCAGGTGCAGGGTGTGATGTGTGCCTCTCTTGGCAGCAAATGGGCCCCTGGCTGACGTCCTGCAGCAGGCACTGCTGCCCGTGGTGGACTATGAGACCTGCTCCCAGTGGAGCTGGTGGGGCATCTACGTGCTCCCCAGCATGGTGTGCGCCGGCGGCGATGGTGTCATCTCCAGCTGCAACGTGAGTGTTGGGCAGGGGGTGGCAAAGGCGGGTGCAGGAGTGGTCTCTGCCCCCGAGGAGCAAGGGCTGGCAGCACGAGGCTGTGGACCCCATGGGAAGCACGGGGAGGTGAGGGGCTGGAGGTGAGCGTCCGGAAGAGCGAGCACTGAGCTGTGTCCATGGGGACAGGGGGACTCCGGAGGCCCCCTGAACTGCCCGTTCGAGGGGCGCTGGGAGGTGGCCGGAATCGTCAGCTTTGGCTCGGCGCTGGGCTGCAACACGCTGAGGAAGCCGACGGTGTTCACCCGCGTGTCCGCCTACATCGACTGGATCAACGAGGTGGGTGCCGCGTGCTCTGCCCCCAGCGAGGGGCTGCCCCTGCCCAGCGCCGGGGCTCGCTGCCATGTCCCCTCTGTCTTGTCCTTGGCAGACAATAAGCAGCAACTGAAGATGCGGCGCGAGGGGCAGCGCGTCTCGAGCGTGATAAAGGCACAAGTGCTGAGCTGGTCTCGCTTGGTCTGGTTATTGAGCGGGGGGGAGCTGGGGGCAGGCACCTGTGGCTGTGGCTGGGGATGCTGGGGTTTGCAGGGTCCCCACGTTGCTCAGTGAGGGCACTGGGGTGAGCTCAGGCTGCAGCTGTGGGGAGCAGGGGTGGCATCCATGCCCTCAGCACCAAGGGGCTCAAGGCTTTGCTGGTGGTTTGGGGGAGAGGGGCTGGGGTCTGACTGGGGGCCTGTAAGGGAGCCAGTTGGCCCATGGGGAGCACTGAGGGATGCGGCAGCTCCAAAGTGCTTTAGGGGCCTTGGTTGTCCTTGGGAGTGGATCAGGCTGCCCAAAGAGGTGGTGATTGCCCCATCCCTGGCAGTGCTCAAGGCCAGGCTGGACAGGGCTTGGAGCAAGCTGCTCTAGTGGAAGGTGTCCCTGCCCGTGGCAGGGGTTGGAACTGGATGAGCCTTAAGGTCCCTTCAACCCAAACCATTCTCTCATTCTCTGGTTCTATGTCTCAGGGGACTTTGCTGGCCCTGGGCTACTTGAGGACAGGTAAATTTCAGTGGGGGTCTCAAGGGTTGGTCCTTGGGGGGCTGACTGGTCCAGGGAGGAGGGTTGCAGGACCTGCGCCATGACCCAGGAGCTGAGTGTCTCACTGTGGGTCTCCTTCCACAGTGTCTGGAGGAACAAGGTGGGTGCTGGGTCTGGCAGTGTGGGGCTTGCACCCTGGCTGGGGGGTCCCCAGGAGGAGCCAGGGCTGCCATAGGAGGAATGTGGGGTTTTGCAGTGGAAGGAGGCACCGTGCCTGGGGGAGCGGGTGTGCAGAGGCTGCGGATGGTGCTGTACCATGAGCCCCCGAGCAGAGCCGCCCACCAGCACTGCGGTGCTGCCGTCACTTTGTCATGGGTGCTGAGCCCAGTGAGAAGCTTCATGGCAGATGATGATGGATGGAGGTGCCTCGACCTCAGCGAGGGATGTGATGGATGGTGCCCAGCTTAGGAGTGATGCTGCCACCAGCCTGAGCAACACCAGCACCAGCCTGGGGAGCGATGCCATCGCCTGCACTGGACCTGCAGTGGGGCTCAGGAGCAGTGGTGTGAGCCCCGAGGCTGTGGGAGCCACTTGCCTGGGCTGTGGCTTGCTTGGGGCAGGGTTGTGGGTCCCTCTGGGGACCAAGTGACACCTGACAGCACGGCCAGAGGTTTAGTGGGTGAAGAGATACATGGGGAGGGCAGCAGTTGGGGGGGGTAGGTGCTGTGTGCTGTGGCAAAGGGATTGTACACATCACCCCTTGGGTATTAAAGACCTGCCCAGAGGACGTGTGGAGATGGACCATGTACCACAGGGGTGGCTCTTCGGGGTGGGAAGAAGAGGCTGGGGAGCAGGACCCCAACATGCGGGAGGCACTGCCTGGTGCTGCAGTCACATCGAGACGAGCTCTCATGTCACATCTATGTGTCCACCTGGGCACCGTGTCCCCTCTCAGAGGTGGTGTGGTGAGTGTGGGAGCCCTGGGCATCACTGCAGCACTGGGCTGGTACCCTGTGGGTCACAGCCTGCAGAACCAGTGGTGGTGGGGAGGGAGCAGGACCGTTCCTGGCACTGGCACCCTCTGGGATGGGTCTCACCCCAGTGAAAGATGTCCCCTCCTGCAGGAGGTGGTGGAGAGTCACAGTCCCTGCATGAGACTCGGCTAAGCCTTGGCTCGCAGTGAGACCCCACAGTGGTGGGTGGCCACGAGGCTGGTGTGTGACCTGAGCGAGGCCAGCAGGGTGCCTTTGGGGTGTGTGAATCCCTAGGGTGGCTGTGTGAGCATCCAGCACGCCCGAGGGACAAGTGGGGTGTGCTGGGGCTGTACTGTGTCAGGGGGACACAAAGCACCATGGTGTGGCTGCTGGAACTGCCCATGTGTCTGTAATGCTGACAGAAGGCGACCCCTGTAAACCACATTGGGTAGAGGAGCGGCCCAAGTTGATATTGATATCCACAGGTGATTCCCAAAGCCTCCCTCGCTCCCCCAGCAGCATGGAGGCACAGGGGCACAGCACAAGCTGCCTTTGCTGTGCTGAAGCAGACCAGGACTGTGAAATGCCCCATGCAATTGGGGGGCACCCATCAGCTCTCCATCCTGTCCCGGCTCTGCACAGTGACACTTCCCTTCCCCACATACCCCATGGCAGCTGCATCTCCCCAGTGTCTCTGAAGACACTTCTCCCTAATATCCCACATCCATCCCGAGTTTCTAATCCAAAACTATCACCACAACAGCAGCTCCTCAGGGCAAGTGCTTGACCTCAGCTCTGGGATTCAGAGGGATCCTCATCAGGTTCCTCTGTAAGTTTGCATTAATGCCAATTGCCTCAAGAGGACACTCGCTGCCTTCTCGCCACGTGTGAAACGCTCCCAGTAGCAGCAGGAAGATGAACATTTACATGAATGAGGCTTTTCTTGCTCTTCCCCTTTCAGAGAAGCCTTTGGGAGATGCTGAGCTGGCACTCACAGCACAGAACAGACGAGGAAACACAAAGGATTTTCTTGCCTTGTCCATCGTGTTTTATTGGAAATTTCAATTACAAAAATCATTCCGTGCCACTTGTGCCAGACTTTGATCCCATCAGTTTGTTTTCCAGGCAGAGAAGGCCACAAGTTTGGCAGTCACTAAACAAAATACCCTGAGGCTGAGCACAGGCGCATTGCAGCGAGCTGGAGGTGCTCTCCTCTGCGAGCACAGAGGCTCTGGGCCAGCACGTGCTGCCCCTGCTCCGTCCATACCATTTCCCATCAGCACGGCGCCAGTCTCCATCTCCTCCCTGTTTCACAGCATTCACAGGTGACAT